GTCAAAATGGTTGAGATAAGTGTTTCTATTGTGGGGTTTGACCCCCCCCCAAATCATGGGTTTGGATTGACTGCACGGCCACAGCCACAATCCCCTCGCTGCCTTGCTGTCTGTCTGTTAGCTGTTACCAGCTATTTCCAGCCACTGAAATTGACTTCTCAGCCGTGTTTGTTCCTTTTATCATGCAAATACCAGACGAATATATTGCTTTGTGTGCGGTTAATTGTACTAACAGACAGTTCATGAAGCCCGTGCTCCTGTGTTTTAGGTGAGCAAAATTATTTATGTGATAGCAATAATAAGCAGGTATTGGTTTCTGCATACATAGCATGTTAGATTAGAGCGTTCTGCATGCCCGCCGAGAATTGCATGCACCTCCAAGCAGTATTTAAAAAACGATATACTATTCATTGTGGGGTTCTTATTCTTGGTGATGATCATTTTTTGAACATTTAGAGTCATCAGTATTTTATTACCCTTAGTAGAAGTGGCATTTCTTTGAAATTCAGCAACAATATGTGCTGAAAACTGCATTTTATCTACGTGCAAAGTGTCTGGAACGGACTTTAAGAGGTAGATACATTATTGGCAGAATAGATGTTTTAGGCTACCTGCTGAGATTTGCATCCACTTCCTTTCTCAGTAACTGTGAGTGTTAACTCACGCGAGGTGCATGCAGAACTCGGCACAACACTGATCTCGTGCCGGTTAGGGCTGCTGGCAGAGAAAACAGGTAGCTGGGCTGTAGGGTGAGGTTCTGAGTTATGTAAAGCTAGATTACTAAGAAAAATTAGGTGAGCATTGTTGCAAAAAATGTTCTCGCACTTTTATTTTGAGCCACAATCACTTAAAGGAAGTGATTATGTGAGTAATTGTAGCTGTCATGATAGACTAGTGCTGAAATAGATCTATCAATTTATATATTTTTTTTCTGCTATCAAAGCAATCTGGCTGCGGGCCAGATATTATTGTTGGCGGGACAGTTCTGGCCCACGGGCCGCCAATTGCCGACCACTGCTCTAGGCTATATAGATGCAATTTTCTGGAAATAGCGTATAACCTCTACATCTTATTGTTATTCCTTAGGTAAATGTGTGACTGGTCTCATACCTATTTCTTCCAGGCTCATGAGCTGTCCAGAGGTGGTGGGCAGGGCTGTTTGGGCAGGAAGTCCATTTTGGTGCAGAAAGGACATGGCATAGGTCTGCACCTCAAACAGGGTGGGGTTCTTACTGTCCTCTGAGTTCATTATCTTCAGGACATACTTGCCACCCTCCACTGCTGTCACACAGAAGTTCTGGTCATCGTAGCTTGGCAGCGAGCGAATTTCTGATGGCGTCAGCCTGAAGAGCCTCTTCACCAACTCAACCACCTGAGACTGGCTCAAGTTGGGCTTGGAATGCTTCACTGACATGATTGCTGAATGAAAATAACATGCTATCAGCAAAAAAGATGTTGCAGAGACATACCAAACAAAAGCATCCAAACTAACCCACTTTCTAATGAAACTGCCAAAAAGTGTCTTAGAGCAACAACAAATTAATTGAATTCGGGGAACCTGTGATGGGCATTTGCCCTTATTTTCTGGTATCTCATATACAGAAAGATTAATGACTGAATCTGGAAAATTAAAGTTGGCGGCAGCCCAACTTCCTATAAGTTTCAGTTCCTTCAAAAATGTTTTTCACATGCACTGACAATTGTTTAAATGCTATACTATACGGTACTTTCTTGCAACGTGTACACGCTGGAGTCAAACTAATCTTTCATTCTTCTGCCTTTATTAATGACGGTGATAACACGCGAGAGAAACATAATGTCGCCATAATCTGCAGACATACTTTACTAACGTTACACACACACAACGCTGAGCACAGCGGTTTTGATAAATCATGTGACAGTTGAGTGTTAAAAGTTATAAACAATAAAATCTATGCAGAGCATTTCCCCTATTTTATGAGTTGATCCCATGACTGTAAAGTTAGCTTGGTGGCTTTAGTTGAGTGACGTTCTTGTGTTCAATTGTATGAGATATCGCTAACGTTACGCTAGCTATCATTAGCTACATGAAATAACAGCCACGATGTCTAATAATAACAGACAACACTATTCACATGTCAGTAGACCCACCTCAGGCTGTGTAAAACCATAGACTGTATGTGTAAAACGGAATAACAGGTAACGTTAACAGTTACATGGTGTGAGCACCGAAGACGTCCTACTAACTCATGAAGTCTGTAAAAAAAAAAAAAAAAAAAAGCTGCTTCCGGTAGGATTTTTCAAAATACAACTTATTAGTGTAAAATGTTGAAGATTGTAGGTTTTGACAGTAACACAAAGCGAGATTATAGTTCGTATTTTAGGGAGAATCCATAGTGTATTGTAATTAATCAGATCTTTTCACAGCATGCAAAATGTGTATGTCTAGCACATAGGGTCTAGTACTAGTGTCAAATCATGAAAAATATAACTTCCGGTTACTAATTTCGACGGTAAGAGAGCTGGATGCAAAAGAACAAGCGAATTTCGGGCAGTAGGTAGCAAATCGGCACAGAATTAAAATAAAATGCGTGTGCAAACACACACTGCGTTTGTGTCTAAAAGGAACACTATATTGGCAAATGTATGTACCTTTTTCCTCATTTTGCCATGTTTTAACAATTGATACGATTAGATGCAGCTCCTTAAATTGATTTATTATTTCCATATTAACGTATTAAATTCAACAGTTCTCTTTGTGTGCGTCTCTCTCCAACACACACACGCTGCTGCAGCAGCTGTGTTGTGTGCGCCTGGACGCAGCAGTCTAAAGTTGAGTACCATCGTGTGATGGATTTTAGAATCAGATTGTGTCACCTAGACTTTTGTATTTGCAAAGTACATAAGTCAAAGAGAAAGTTATAAGGAGCATGGCCGGTGCTTTCATTGTCAAAATCCTGAAACGTCACTAGAAACAGCTGAGTACAGGAGGTGTCCACAGTGCTGAAAAGACGCAGACTTTTTCGGGCAACTTCAGTACAATAACTTCCCGAATCACAACAACCACTTTCCTCTTCGACAGAGAGGCAAGACATTATGGTGGTGAATAAGAAAGACAAGTGGCCAACTTATAAAACAACACCATGTTCTGGAAACAGGCCAGGCGCACACAGTCACGCACATCCACACAATTAAACAGGTAGGCCTACTCAGTGGCGACCCACCTGACCACGAAATGATAACAGCCTGTAAAACAACGGCATGGCAGCCACATCAAATCCAAGCTGAAAAAGTACTTGTAAAGTTACTCACCTGTTTGAATGGCATCCGACGAGCCTGCATTGAGCGAGATCTTTGACAATGTCCTCCGTAATCCAAAACAATGTAATGTGGGAGCTTTGCGACCCTCTCCTCCTGTTCTTTTCTCTCCTGTCTCTTCTTATAACTACTTTTTATGTGTGAATAGCATCGACTTCCAGTTTGCATGTGTGGTCTAGTCTACTGGCCAGATTGTGCTAGTCCTGTCGTCTTGTCACATGATCAAATAGAAACAGTCAGAGACAGTCATTTACATAGTACCCAGCAATGATCATTGCATATGTATATGTAATATAGCAGCCAACTTTTTTCCCCTGAACTCTTGTAAGTTTTTTTAAACTTTCAAAGAGATCTGAATTCATTTATTATTCTAATTTCTAATCCAAACTTTTAACTTCCCCTGAGACTGTGGATTCATATACGCCTTCGCTATATGTTACACAGTTTCCAACTGGTCAGCAATGGCATGAGATGTTTTTTATGCCTGCATGTTCCTCCATTTGGCGTGGATCATTTAACAAGCAGACTGCGAGTTACAGTCAGTATTCTGACATTTGCTCATAGTCCTGGACTGCACCTAGTCCTGATAAAAACAAATGTTGCTGTGTAGATAAGAAATGCCACACTATGCCATTTTAATAATTTTATATTGTTGATAAAAAATATTTATTGGTGCAGCTTTAAATATAGGCAACTAATAATTTGTTAAGATTAGGGATTGTTTTTATGGTTAAAGCAAAAATCAACGCAACTTTTAGCTTTGGCTTTAACATCCACAACACAGGTCATTCTAATCAGTTTGAAGAAATGACATAAGGTTACTGAAAGATTTGCACTTAATAAACTTTGTCAAAAAATACTCCATTAGCTTTCTATTATAGTCAATAAATTTGCAATCAAAAACTTATCTGGAGACGGTCAAGAGTCGGTGCAAAAAGAGTTTATTCCAAAACAGGACACATAAACCCGTACAACATCCCAGCAGGTCGGAGGATGAAGTCAATCCTATGGTCTGCAGACAGTTTTATATATATCTCTTCTGGGCTGGTTTGCCCCCTCCTTTCCTCATGATGAACTTCTTTTCTTCTGTTATTGTGTTGTTTTTACCAATTAACACAGTATTTTTTAAAGGTTACGCATGCTTAATTTGACACACAATTGTATTTTTTAAACAATTAATATAAGAATAACATAAGTAAAGTTACATTTTTCATTAATGCTTGGTTTCTTACAGCAGTCTTGATGTTATGCTGGCTGCTTTCTGCTTATTATCTGTCTGTCGTGTTTTTACTAAGCATCTGACATTTTTTTGGTCATCCTCTGTCATGTTTTTGCAAAGCATGAATTCCTTCAGCAAGTTCACTCAAAGCTCACACTGGCTATAATAACCAGAGGTTGGAAGTTCACAATGAAACCCCTTGATCAGTAATTAAGCATGTAGTCTTAATATTAGCAGATTAACACATCAGCAGTTCCTCATGTAATCACAACAGTAGATAACAGCAGAACGAAGCATGCACTGTCACAGTGTCAGCAGATCTTGCACACCTGCAGCCTCTCCTATGGTCATAATCTACAGTAGATGACAGCTGGACAAGGCAAACCACCTTCCTGCAGTCATTCCTCCCACTCGAGAATCTAACCACAGTGAGCTTGTTTCTGTGTTCATGACTACAGTTCACTACTTATAAATAAAAACCGAAGCACATCTAGGTAAAAAGAAAATGATTAAGACTGATTAATGATTAATAAAATGATTAAAAATGATGATTTAAGAATGATTACCTATTGATTAAAGTAACTGATTAAAGATAATAAAACTGATTAAAATGATTAACAGTGATTATTAAGGATAATCACTGATGACTGTTTCTTGACTGATGTCTAACTTTTTGTCTGCAATGCTCCCCCTCTCTGTGTCCTAGGCATGCCCTCCCCTGATCATGCTATTTTAACCAAAAACCTGACTTTGTGGAATAAGCTGGTGTCTCTTGTACTGTTCGCTATAGACAGGACATTCTTACTGTATTGATATATGTTTTGTAACACAATTTTCACTAATTCTGCTTCTACATTTTCCTTTGCTGGTGTTTTTGATGATGCCTTGCTGTGCTCACTCTGCTCCCAGAGCACACATGCCTGCTTACACACGCATGTGCTACTGTTACTGCCTCCTCGCAGCTAGACACAGAGAGGACCACACACTCTCAGAGCTATAGAGTTTCAGCGTTGTGATCTTAACTTTACACTATAAAATAACACTCTAAATGATGACAATAGCTATAGAGTTTTGACGCTGTAATCTTAACTTTACACTCTAAAATAATACTTTAAATGATGCCAATGCAGACCACCTTCGATCTAACAATTAATGATAACAATTTAGGCTGTAATGTTCTAAAATAATTCTCAACCGTGCCAGATGGAATTAAAGGCTTTTTGGAAGTCAACAAAACAGGCATACACTTTTGTTTTCTTAATGTTTAATTCTTGATCAATTAGAGTCTGGAGGGTAAATATATGGTCCGCTGTGCGCAATTTGGTAACAAAATAATTTGGCATTCATGCAGAATATTGTGTTCATCAAGAAAGTTGACAAATTGTTTATTAATGATGTTGCAGAATATTTTTCCCAGGTTACTGGATACACATATTCCTCTGTAGTTATTTGGATCATTTTTATCTCCGGATTTATGAATTGGGGTTATTAAACCTTTGTTCCAGATGTCTGGAAAAGTTCCAGTTGATAGAATAGTATTGAATAGTTTTAGTATAGCCAATCTGATTTTATGGTCCGAGTATTTCAATACAAATTCGTTGAGGATTCCATCAATACTACAAGCCTTTTTCCTTTCAGGGACTGGATGACTTCTGTTAATTCTTGTTCTGTTCCATTTCATGAATATCTTGTACTGATCATAAGTTTTTGTAATATTACTGTATAATTCACTAAAGTGATTAATCCAAGTATTTCCATCTTGGATCACCAATTCATCGTGCTGGGTTTTGTTTAGGTTGTTCCATTTCTCCCAGATGGGACTCTAATGATTCATCAGTTTCACAGAGCTGGTGCTTGCTGTGTTGTTCTTTCTTTGTTTTTAGGGTATACTTGTATTGTTTCAGAGTGGCCTCTTATTGACAGCATATGTTGTGGTTATCTGGCTCCCTATGCTATTCATTTGATAATTTCGTTTAAGTTTTCCTTGGGTTTTTGCATTCAGTGTTGTAGCAGGTCTAAGCTACGTATAATTTTAACACAGTTATGAAAATTAATATTTCCAGGAATATTAATTCATGCCTCGAAACTAGGAGCACCACCTAAAGATTTGCTTGTCCGCCCAAGGCTTTAGGTCTCAATTACACGAATTTCTGGTAATTCGTTAGTTGTTAATGGTTCAGTTATTCTGAAATCGTAAACTCTAGTCAATCAGTCAATCTCAAATCTGAGGGTGAGTTCTATGTATAGGGACTAGATTCTTAATAACACACACACACAACATCACTGTGCTCAAGATGAATTTATTTACTAACAAAAGAGAGTACAACAGTGGGGTAAATGTGGTAATATTACAGGGACAACAGTCAACATGACAACCAGGAGGTAATGAACAGGGTATGTTAGGCTCGATTGAATTTCAGTTTATATTGTAGAGGGAGAGAATTCTAGGAGTATGAGGGAACGAATGACCGAAATTATGTTGCATATTTAGTTTGACTAATCTAGGGATTTATTAACTGTAGATGGAGCCAACTAGAGAACACCAACGATTCACAGAGTGTGGTTTGTTTTGCCCTACCGTTGTCGCAGTTCCTGTAGCAATTAAGGCTCGACTGCCGGTTGGCTTGTGGAGTTGGTTCTGGCCCGACCCCAGTGGCGTTTTCGAGTTGAGTTCGAAACCGGTGGATTTGTTCCGGAGTCCTTTGTGGGAAGCGCTTGCAGCAACGGGCCGTC